CCTGAGAATAGAAATGTTGTAAGGACAGTAGATTCTCTACTGCTATTACACAAACTGGCCACTCACATTCTTCCTTTGGCTCCATTTTGATGAAAAAAAAAATTATTTTTGACAGAGTTTCGCTCTGTTGTACAGGCTAGAGCTAGACTGCCATGGCATCCACCTAGCTCACAGCAACCTTAAATTCCTGGGCTCAAGCGATCCTCCTGCCTCAGCCTCCCAAGTAGCTGGGACTACAGATGCACGCTACCACACTGGGCTAATTTCTTCTATTTTTAGCAGAGACAGGGTCTCACTCTTGCTCAGGTTGGTCTTGAACTCCTGAGCTCAAGCAATCCTCCCACATCAGCCTCCCAAAGTGCTATGATTACAGGCATGAGCCACTGCACCCAGCCTTGATGGAAATTCTTGATTCACAGTTTGTGCTGTTCATTTCCCTATTTTCATCAATGAATGGTTGATGAGAATCAATGAGTCTTGTTCTAATGCAGTTAATAAGGTTGAGAAAACCAATAGACACACCCTCTCTAAAAATTGGAAAGAAAATGTTCTTCAGTGGCCTAGGTGAAATTATTCTTCTAGGTTCCTATCTTCTTGCTTAATCAACAGGAATATCTTTGGCTTATGCTTGGCTAAATCTGATGAACGGTAGCCATATTCTTTTAAACCAATAATTTCCATCAGGCAGGTGTTTCTTAATTACTAACATTTATCTTACAGAACCTGGAAAGAAGGGTGTCCAAAAGGAAAAATCCCAATCATTTGAGTTTTTTGTATGTTTATTTTTTATGTTATTGTATATTATTTTAGACACACAGAAAGCATATGGAATATAATCATTACTTCTGTTTCCAAAACCTATCTTAGGGAATAAAATATTATAAATATTATTTAAGTTTTTAATGTACATCTCATCCTATTTCCTTCTCATTCCTCAGAGATAGCTCCTGTTTTATATTAAGCTTTTATTTATTCTCATGTCTCTCTGTTTTTACTATTTATTGTATGTATTACTAAATAATGTATAATATATTTTTAAGCATTTTAACTTTTGTATAAATGGTATCACTGTATCATTTAAGGTGTTTTGATTTTACTATATATCTCAAGAATGTAGGGTTTTATATCTTTTATGCTTTTGGGCAAGCTTCCCCTGCCTTTTTGAAGGGGACAGCATTAGAAGAGGAACTGTGAATTTCCCCCTCAGACCAAGCTAAGTTCAGAAAGAATACAGTTTATTTCCTTGGCCAAGAAAATGTTTCTCTTAATTTCTACTTGGTTCTCTTCTTACAAGTTGGAAGAGATCCATTCAACGCCGAGTAGCATCTCTCTGAAGGTACACGGTATTGGCTTAACTGTTGGTCATACCATAATGGTTGTCTCATTTTGCTTATTCTGTATATTTTATGGCAGACCTAAATGATAGTCTTGTTGATGGTTCTGGTGGGACCTTATTTAAAATTTTGATGGGGCCAGGCGCGGTGGCTCACGCCTGTAATCCTAGCTCTCTGGAAGGCCAAGGCGGGTGGATCATTTGAGCTCAGGAGTTCAAGACCAACCTGAGCAAGAGCGAGATCGACCTGAGTTTGAGGTTGCTGTGAGCTAGGCTGATGCCACGGCACTCATTCTAGCCCGGGCAACAAAGCGAGACTCTATCTCAAAAAAATAAAAAATAAACAAAATAAACAAAATAAAAATTTGGAGATGGTATTGGAGAGCTGCTTTCACATGAACCATGGCTGTACAGTTAATGAAAAATAATTATTAATTAATTTATGAATAAAATACAGTAGTACATGGTGAAACATGAAGGATTCATGGCTGCTTTAGGGGTCACCGTCATATATTATATAGATCCTGAGTGATCTGCTGGGGTAAAGAGGTGAAATGTGAAATTGAGTATTAGAGAACTCAGTTTTTTCCCCCTCACAAAAACTTCATTGTGGTAGATCCTGTGGAAGGGTAGTGAGAGGGATTTTGTAAAAACTGGTATCTCTCTCCATCTACCAAGAAAGTATGTGAAATGAGAATGTACTAAGGAGTCATGTGCTTTCATGTATGAGGTTAAAGTTTATGTTAGAATAATAATCACAAATGTGACGGCTTAAAATTTTAGGGCACATCTTTTTATTATATGATTGTGATTAAAAAAAACTTGAACACCTTTCAAATGAATTGGTAATTTTTTTTAAAAGTTGTATAATTCAAATGCAAATGTGTTTATTTTTCATTTGACTGCTAAAGGATTTTAGAGTATGTCATTAACAGTTTGGTGTTTCAAAAGATCAGAGAGTAATAAATTATCTTTAATCTATAAAGAAAAAAAGAGAGATACCAGTTTTTAAAGCTTTTTTCCTATTAGATCTCAAATAAGTATTGCTCCTTAGTTTAATAAAAAATACTTTCCAGACAGATTAAATACGAGGACCAGTCTCCAGACCACTCAAGCCTTCTTTATGATACTGATAATCTAGAAGCATTTCCAGGAGTTCATTATCTTTTGATATTTGAATGATTTTATTGTGAGGCTAATGCAAAAGTACCTCCTAGGTAACTTAGTCAATAATGTCATGCGAACACTGAAATACAGAGTTCCTATGTGGCGTACTTTTAAAATTTCTCCTAAGTCACTTGTAAATTGTAGTCAGAATCTTTCAAATTATCTTCATGTTTAGCACTACTCTTTTATGCACCATTATGGCAGCATTCTACATTTATTTATAGAGCTACTTCAATGTTATCTGATAAATTGTATCCTCTCCAAATTCATATGATGAAGTCCTAACTGCCAGTTTCTCAAAATGTGACCATATTTGGAGATAGGGCCTTTAAAGAGGTAATTATGTTAAAATGAGATCATTAATGTGGTCTCTAATCTAATATGACTGGTGTCCTTATAAGAAGAAAAATTTGGAACACAGACATGTACAAAGGGAAGACCACAGAATAAATGAACCCTACTAACACCCTGATCTTGGCCTTCCTGCCTCTAGAACTGTGAGAAAATAACTTGCTATTGTTCAAAGTTTTAGTTTATGGTACTTTATTAAGACAGCCCTAGCAAACTAATATGTCCTCTTAATTTGGGCAATCAAAGATATCATCCCTGGTGTTAAAGAAAGATGACTAAAAATAAAGCTTGGATGATTTTCATGAATAGCTTATGTGTACTACTACTTATGTCCTATACTTGTTTTACTATATTTCATACATTATTAGATCATAAATATTTTGCTTTTGTTTATGTATACTGATGCTAAAAACTACCACTAGCAGATCATGTGCTTTTTATAAAGAGAGAGTCATGCAGGCTTTTCTCTGTTTATATCTCATGGTGTAAAAGACAGGGTGACACTGCTCTGGCTAGCACTGATAACTGTCCCCCAGAATGCATTCTCTCTTTATTCATTTTAGTACACGATTGTTTCAGCAGAATACATAACCACCAAGCCAGAGAGCATATTGTGTCACTCCTTAGCAGTTAGAGATGGCCATGTGACTAAGTTCTGGCAAATAGAATAGGAACAGAAATAATACATGCAGCTTTCATAATGTATCCTTAAGAGAACTGGTTGTTCTCCACTTCATGTTCTCCCTTTTCATGGGCTGGAATTAAGGTGTGGCAATGGTAAGCATAAGACTGTAGAACAATAGAATGAAAATGACCTAAATCTTGGGAGAATTTCATGGATCAAAACTACCTCCTTATCCTGAACTACCTACATTACCTGAGATAGAAATAAACCTTTATCTTCTTTGAGCCACTGTATTTTTGGCTTATTTCTTATAGTAGCTCAGCCTGCACCTAAACACTATAATTGTTGTTGGTTCCATCTAAATAGTCAAATAGAAATATAATATGTTTGAATGTTGAGGAAAAAAGAAAGCCAATGTAATTTTTAACCTGTATACTCCGTATCTCCCTTACTATAATAATCTCATACCATATATGATTCTGAACATTAATAACTATGATTCAGTATCTTATCATTTACATTAAATCTATTCTGAATGACGAGAAAAAGAATTTCATTCATGACTTGGAAAAAATTTATATAACAAAATTTACTATTATTTGTCCTCTGAATCTACATAAAAAAATTTTCAGTTTTGGTTTAATGTATATAATTATAAGTTTTTACATAATGCACTTAAAATTTTCCAATTTTGGATAATTGGATAGCCATGTGGAATTAAAAAATAAAGTACAGATCTCTTAAACAGCTAGTTAATATAGGCAAAGGTTTGTTAATTTAAAAAATATTTAGGATATAGGGTTGCTATATTTTTTATATATGGTCCAATGACTTGACAAAGTTTGAGGTAAAAACATAGTATTGTTATAAGCTATTTCCTCTATGTCAATATACTTTCAAGTAATCTAGTAATGGATCGACTGTAAAAAAATATTAAGCTATTGAGTGCCTTGACCTTAAATTCTAGGCAGCAATAAATGTCTGATTGGCTGTCACAGTAAGCGCAAGAATTTGCCAGCTAAGGATTAAAGGAAGACCCATGCCCTAGTGATGGAAATGATAGCACCTACACAGACCCCTTGAGATTCTTTTTGATTTTGTGACTTTGGCAATCTGCAGATCTTGCAAGTCCTGTCCAGCCCAACTGTCCTCAGTCTCTGTGTCCTTGCCCTGTTCATTGTTGTGGGATCCATATGAGCAGTCTGGTCTTAGGAAAACCAGTAGAACATAGAGTCTCATCTCTTGTCTGAATTTCTGACTAATGATGTATGTATATTTCAAGGATTTACTTATAACCTATTGAATTTTAAGTAAGCTTTGAGAAGACTTTACTAATGCTTACCACTGGGGTTTCATTGTGGTCCTGAAATATAAACTACTGATTAATTTTTTGGGAAAGGGAAAATGAAGCAAGATAGTATTTATAATTCTATCATTGCTACACATTAATACTTTCTTCCAAAATCATATTACTGTGTGTTTTTAATGTATGTTAAAAATAACCTTCAGTGATACAGGTTTTACCTTTCCCCAGGCAACTTCAGAATCCAAATTACTAGGCATTCCTTCAACTGCTGATCTCTTTGTCAATTCCATATCTGTAGCTGCCAGCCATTCTGTCAAGGCATTCATTTCCTTTCGCATCTTACGGGACAATTTCAAGCATTTCTCCAACTGTTGCTTCCTTTCTGTTACCTGAAAAAAATGATAATAAAATGTAATTTGGTTTATTTTTAATTCATATTTAGTTAGAGCCATTTAATTGGAGATTTCATATTTTTAGCATTTAAAATAACCATTTTATTAAATGTTTGAAAAATGATATTTTAGAAAAACCATATATTCTGAATATTAATAGTGAATAAAACAGTCTAAAGCAGATGAGATCCTTCTCCCAAAAGATAGTGCATTGTATGTGTTGTCATGGTAAAAAGAAATGCTTTAAGAATTTGTCTCCAATATAAGTAAAAAATAATTTATGGCCAAATTTTATAATATATATATGGAATGACATGATTCAAACTGAAGGTATGACCCATTTCTTGCAGAAAACCTATAGTCATTTGTCAAAAAGATGGGCAATAGGTTTACAATCTTCTATACACAAATGACGCTTGCTTATGCTGGTAAGGAATCAAAATGGAAAAAGAATAGTATTTCTCTCAATAGGCAAAAGTATTTACGTAATACCTAGAATTACCAATTTTATACTCATTGCATCTTTAAAGTGTCTTATCTTCACACAAAAAATAATACCAAAAATAGGTCACTGAGTCTTTAAACATAATTCTGTCATCCAATAGTGGCAAAAACTAAATACAAAAATAAAATTTTAACTGTCATTAATAGAGAAAATCATGATTTGATACTGTGCTTCTGTTCTCAGTGCTTAAAACCAAGAATCTCAAAAATAAATTGTTCTACATTGCCACATAAGGGATGAACAAATTTGTATTTTTCCACCACCTTTCCAAATATACCTACATTTTATTCAGTTTGTCAGCTGTTTGGCTTGTTAAGAAGTCCAAGATCTCTTCCTAAGTGTAGTCAAATCATCAGCAAAAACCAGATAAATAAGTTTCAGTTCCTCAAAGTCAAGTTCCTTTGCCTTACACCTCCTTAGATTACCACTATGTTCCCTGCAGTTCCTTGAACAAAGAATGGTCTCAGGAAGAATGTTTTATACATTGAATAAAGGAAAGAATGAAATCCTGCGAACCATTCATTGCAAGCCAGAAAATATAAATGGTAGAATTTACACAAAAAATTTACTCTTACAAGTTTGTTCCTGTTTTGTTTGTTATATGTCTTAGGTGTTTGAAAGAGAAAAAAAAAAACACCTTTTTTCTGTCATGGAGGCTGGGAATCTGAATAATAGATGTCAATATTTGAGTCTGCAGAGGTAGCATGATGAAATGTAAGCATGTCAGGCTCTTCCATATCGAGTAAACTCTCAACTTGATTATGATTTTGGCAGGATGACTCATTTTTCTCAGTTTACACATCTATCAAATGGTATTACACTACTTAGCACATAGGGCTGTTGTCAGAGTAAAATCAGAAAACAGTTTGAGAGAGCTTGACACTTTATAACACCTCAATCCCTTCTTCTATTCCCATTATTTCTCTTTAGGGATAGTTCAATAAAAACTGTGATTGAATGTACATAGCAAAAGCTTTATTTACATTTTTTGTTTTTATTATTAATATTATACAGGTAATGAAAACCTCAAAAAGATTTGGGTTTTGTTGCTAAGAGATCTGAAAAGTGGAGTCTAGATTAATCTCAACTGTAAGGGAATTGATTAAAACAACAAGAACAACTGCACAAGTGCATACATGCCATATTCTTGTATTATGCAGTAGGCATAATAATAGGTAGCACTGATATAAATATATATATATATATACACACACACACACACACAACCAAAATAAGAATCCGGCCATAAGCATGGAAAAATACCAAAGGTATTTTGTGTGTATAAAGAATTTAAAATGCTATAATCAAAATAAATATTCTGAAACCACGATAGAAATTCCAAATGCTCAAACAGATTCATTAGTTACTTTGAGAATAGTGTGTGTACATTTAAAAAATGTTTAGTTGCTGAGGCTGCAAATTCTTTTTTATTTTGTTATTTTTTCTTACAGATTTTCCCTTCTATTTTTCCCCTAAGGAAAGTAAAAGCATCTGCCCTTTGGACTGAAAGAATTTTATTTGTGTATGGGAGAAAAAATAATATACCTTATGGTGTGGTTTCCATGCATAGTTATTTTTTCTATGTGCTATTGGTAGAAAAAGGATTCTAGATTCAATATTTCAAAGAAATTCTATCTTCCCAAAGCTAATGCATTATTGATTTTTATTTATTTTATTTTGCTTATTTCCAGCTGAATAGGTTTTTAAAAAACAGTAGACAGTGCCCTCTTAAGGAAAATTGAGTTTTACACAATTTTGGTGGGGAATGGATACAGCTAAAAGAGTGCCACCTGCAGTAAAATGTTTCAACAGTTATTGTGTTATGAACACTTAAAAATGTATTTTGGGGATAATATAAGCATTGCTATTAATGTATATTTTCATAAAAATCAAAGCATGGAGAATTGAAAAAAGAATAGTAGGTATTATTACATCAAGGCTGCTAAGTTTAATGGCTTTCAATAAATTAATGAGATTTAGATATAAGAAACTTTTTATTTCTATTCATTGAACACTTAAACGAAGTGGCTGATATTTAAATAAATATTATAGTAAAATTCTGTACTGTATGAAAAGTACTATAGGCTGAATTGTGTCCCTGAACAATTAATATTAATATGTTGACACTCTAACCCCTAATGTGATTGTGTCTTAAAGAACTATATTTAGTCCTGAGAAAGTAATTAAGGTTAAATGAGGTCATAAGGGTGGGGCTCTAGTTTAATAGACTGTAGCCTTAATAATAAGTTTTCTCTCTTTCTCTCTCTCCCTTTTATCTCTCCTCCACTCCATGTGAGGATACAGTGAGAAGGTAGCCACCTAAAAGCTAAGAAGAAAACTCTCACCAGGAACTGAATGGGACAGCTTCGTGTTCTTGGACTTCCAAACTCCAAAGCTTTGAGAAATAAAGTTCTGTTGTATAAGCCACTCTGTCTATTCTATTTTGTTAGGGCAGCCTGAACTGACTACCACAAAAAGGTAACACATACTGAACTAAGGCAATTACAAATATGTGAATTCTGAAGATGATTAAAATAGAAGGTTCCTTTTGTATATAAAAATAATATAATAAATTAAACATTGCTACCTTTGCTTTTATTCAACAAAGCCACTGTTAAAAATGGTTTGAAGGTGAAAATGCAATTATTTTTTCTCAGCCAAAGAATATATGACATACCACATTTTTATAAGATCCCTTACATGATCCCTTAATCATTAATGATTCTAAATTTCTACTTCAAAAATAAATTTCTGCCCTATGTTGCTGCTGTATTCTGTCATACTATTAAAGTTAAGTATGATTTCTTAGTACTCTTTTCATTTTGCTTTAATATTACTAAGTGGAATGTGGCTAAAATAAATAAATTCTCAAATATATATTTTCAGGGATAAAGAGGGCTTTGGATCATTTTAAATATCATTCAATTCTTTTTTGTTTGTTCATTGGTATTTTTGAGATCTTGTTCTGTTGCCCTGGCTAGAGTGGCATCATCATAGCTCACTGCAGCCTCAAATTCCTGGGTTCAAGCATTCCTCCTGCCTCAGCCTCCAGAATAGCTAGGAATACAGGCAAATACCATCACATCCAGGTAATTTTCTATTTTTTCTGGAGCTTATGTTTCACTTTTGTTCAGACTGGTCTCAAACTCCTGGCCTCAAGAAATCCTTGCATCTTGTCCCCCCAAAGTGCTAGGATTACAGACACGAGCCACTGCTCCAAGCCTCAATTCTTAACAATAATAATGTCAGGGCACTAATAACCTTCTAATGTAATGTTTGGTGTTTTAAATTCTAATTGATTTATTCTATTTTATTTTATGTTAAATTAATTTTTGCAAAGGCAAAGATTTTTGTCTAAATCCTTATGACAAAGAAGAGGCCTGAGGAATGATTATACTACAAAAGGTAAATGGAGAAAACTTTCCCAAAATATATATTTTCCATTTTAAGAAAACATACTCATCAACATATTCTTTTAACATAAAGTCACACAGATCAAATTATGAACTGTTGAATATAAAGAAAATAAATCTCCAGGATTAAACAAGCTATAGCAATAGGATTAATATTAGAGATTACTTAACCTCTAATTAATTATAAACTAGAAATTATTCAATATTTTGTAATTGATGTTAAATATGGAAAAACTGGTATATGTGATAATTGACAAATACTGGAATAAGATACCAAGTGCAGATACAACTTTCCTCTGTGTGTTTATCTTTAACACAATGATAAGCTTCTCTAACAGGATATAAAGGCCTTTTATTCCAAAGGTACCTTGGTAGATTAAACGAGCAGTTGAAATATATTTTAGTTCAAGATTGTCATCATGCTTTACTATTGACTAGGTATTAGTGTTCCTTATTTTTGGAACAAATTAGGAGAAACTTTTGTCAGAGGACCACAACAAACTCTCTTGAAAAGCATGCCAAATATAAATTAGAGGGTTTTATAAATATAAAAATAAAGGTTATCAGCTAACAAAAATGATTATTTTCAGATTTTTATTTGAATCTAAAATTTACTTTCAGTGATAACAAATTTGCAATTAGTAGATTCAAGATACATACTTTAATCCACTTTCAAGGTCACATATTAATACTAGAAATGTACCTCTCCATTGCTATGTCCATGGCTACATATGGACATTAATAGTTGGGTCTAAGATGAGGTGACAATTTTCTCAAAGATGTTACTCTATTCAATAAAGTCAGGAACAGCCGGGTGCGGTGGCTCACGCCTGTGCCTGTAATCCTAGCACTCTGGGAGGCCAAGGCAGGTGGATTGTTAGAGATCAGGAGTTCGAAACCAGCCTGAGCAAGAGCAAGACCCTGTCTCTACTATAAATAGAAAGAAATTAATTGGCCAACTATTATATATAGAAAAAATTAGCTGGGCATGGTGGCGCATTCCTGTAGTCCCAGCTACTTGGGAGGCTGAGGCAGCAGGATTGCTTGAGCCCAAGAGATTGAGATTGCTGTGAGCTAGGCTGATGCCACGGCACTCACTCTAGCCTGGGGAACAAAACAAGACTCTGTCTCAATAAAATAAAATAAAATAAAATAAAATAAAATAAAATAAAATAAAATAAAATAAAATAAAATAAAGTCGGGAACCAGATTTGTAAAAATATAACTTTTTACCCACCCAGAGATTGATTTCCTTTAGTAAGTATGAAATTAAAATGTTGAAAGTTCATTTTTATTTTTTCTTAACTGGCCCTTCAGATAAACATTTATTCACTACTGATTTTTTCCTTCTACACTAAGCATTAGAAAAGTAAAATTATTCCAAAGTAGCACATTTAAAAATGTTCATTTAGGCACTTAAAATAAACTTGCACTTATTTAGAAATGGCCATAAATGCCAAGGAAAGGACATTTCATTTTCATAAGTTCAAGGAAAAAAAGCCCATTACTTAATTACTAAGAAAATACATTTATTCTCTTAGATACTATAAAATGTATTAAGCAATTAAAACTTTTTAAAGAAAAAAATAATTATTACTATGTTAATACTTTAAGTTTTTTTTTTTTTTTTTTTGAGACAGAGTCTCACTTTGTCGCCCAGGCTAGAGTGAGTGCCATGGCGTCAGCCTAGCTCACAGCAACCTCAAACTCCTGGCTCAAGCAATCCTCCTGCCTCAGCCTCCCAAGTAGCTGGGACTACAGGCATGCGCCACCATGCCCGGCTAATTTTTTTTTTTTGTATATATATTAGTTGGCCAATTAATTTCTTTCTATTTATAGTAGAGACGGGGTCTCACTCTTGCTCAGGCTGGGTTTGAACTCCTGACCTCGAGCAATCCGCCCGCCTCGGCCTCCCAGAGAGCTAGGATTACAGGCGTGAGCCACCGCACCCGGCCTACTTTAAGTTTTAATTGAGGACCAAAATATTATAAAAAGTTTAGAATAATGTAAAATAATGGCAGAGAAATGGACCAGTCAGTCCACTATACTGAAAATTCATGTTCTCATGGTTTCTTTTTATAATTACTAAATTTGAAAAGAAAAAGTTAAATGATCACTGTTTGTAGATGACATAATCTTATATATAAAAAGATCCTAAAGAATCTACCAAAATTGTTAGAAATAATAAATGAATTCAGTAAGGTGGCAATGTACAAAATTAGCATACTCAAATAAGTAGCATTTATATATACTAAGAAGTAACTATGCAAAAATGAAACCAAGAATCCAATCACATTTATAATAACATACAAAAGTAAAATATTAGAAATAAATTTAACCAAGGAAGTAAAAAATCTATACAACAAAAACTATAAAACTTTCATTTAATAAATTCAAGAAGACACAAATAAATAAAAAGATATTCATGGATTAGAAGAAATAATATTGTTAAAATGTCCATACTACCCAAAGCAATCTACAGAATCAATGCAACCCCTACCAAAATACCAATAACATTCTTCACAGAAACAGAAAAAAAATCCCAATTTTACCCAGAACCACAGTAAACACAGAATTGCCTGAGCCATCCTGAGCAAAAAGAACCAATCTGAAGGAATCACAAATTCCTTCAGACTTCAAATTATACTACAAACCTATCATGACCCAAACAGCATAGTAACAACATAAAAACAGACACTTAGACCAACGGAACAGAATAGAGAACCCAGGAATAAATCTACACATTTACACATTTACAGTGAACTCATTTTTGACAAAGGTGTCAAAAATATACTTTAGGGAAAGGACAGTCTCTTCCATAAATGGTGCTGGGAAATCTGGATATCAATATGCAGAAGAATGAAATGAGACCCCTATCCTTTACCATACACAAAATCAACTCAAATCAAATCAAATCAACATCTTTAAAGACTTAAATTTAAGACATGAAACTACTAGAAGAAAATATTTGGGAAATGCTCCAGCAAAGTTGGTCTTGGTATATATTTCTTGAGTAATATCCCCAAAGCATAGGCAAGCAAAGTGAAATTGGACAAGCTAAAAGCCTTTGCAAGACAAACGAAACAATCAACAAAGTTAAGAGACCATCCACAGAATGGGAAAAATATTTACAAACTATCCATTTGACAAGGGATTAATAATCATAATATATAAGGTACTCAACTCAGTAGGAAAAAATCAATTTAATTTTAAAAATGGGAAAAATCTGAATAGACAGTTCTCAAAAGAAGAAATATAAATGGCCAACAGGTATATGAAAAAATGTTCAACATCATCAATTATCAGAGAAATGCAAATCAAAACTACAGTGAGATATTATCTTCTCCCAGTTAAAATGGTTTTTACCCAAAAGACAGGCTATAATGAATGCTGGCATGTATGTGAAGAAAAGGGAACCCTGGTACACTGTTTGGGGGAATGCAATTAGTGTAATCACTATGGAGAACAGTATAGAGGTTCCTCAAAAAACTAAAAATAGAACTACCATTTGACCACCAATCTCAATGCTTGATATATATGTCCAAAAAAAAAAAAAAAACACAGAAAAACAAAAACATAAAAGGAAATCAGTATATGGAAAAGACATGTGCACTCCCATTTTTATTGCAGCACTTTATTTATTGGAATCGACTTAAGTGCCCATCAACAGATGAATAGATAAATAAAATGTGGTACATATATACAAGAGAATATTAGTCTTCCATAAAAAGGATGAAGTCCTATCATTTGCAACAACAGGGATGTAAATGGAGGGCATTATATTAAGTGAAATCAGCTAGACACAGAAAAATAAATTTTGTATGTTCTTGCTTATATGTGAGAGCTAAACACTTTTAAGAATTGAACTCATAGAGATAGAGAGTAGAATGATGGCTACCAGAGGCAGAGAGGGGATAAATTGTGGATGGCTAATGTGTACACAAATACAGTTAAATTGAATAAGGTCCAGTATTCAGTAGCAGAATACTGTGACAATAGTTAATAACAATTTAGTGTATATTTTCAAAGAACTAAAACAGTTGAAGAGGAATGTTCCTAACACAGAGAAATTATAAATGCTTGAGGTGATGGATACCCTAATTACCCTGATTTGATCATTATATATTGTATGTCTGTATCAAGACATCACAGGCACCACATAAATATATATGATTAATATGTACCCATAACACTTTAAAAAAATTAAAAAAGAACAAAGCTGGAGCCACCAAATTACCTGATTCCAAAATATACCACAAAGCTAAAGTAATTGAAAGAACATAGTATTAGCATAAAAACATATAGACCAATGGAACAGAATAGAGAGCCCAGAAATAAAGCCTCACATTTATGATCAAATGATCTTTGACAAAGGCACCAAGAACACACAACAGGGAAAGGACTGTCTCTTCAATAAATGGTACTGTGAAATAGGATATCCACATGTAGAAAAATGAAACTGATCCCTATCTCACACCATATCCAAATATCAACTCAAAATGTGTTAAAGGCTTAAATGTAAGTTCTGAAACTATAAAATGACTAGAAGGAAACATAGGGAAAAAGCCTCCTGACATTGGTCTTGGCAAAGATTTTTTTGGATATGACTCTAAAAGCACAGGCATCAACAAGAACAAAAATAGACAAGTGGGAATCATCAAACAAAAACGCTTCTGCTCAGTAAAGGACACAATCAACAGAGTGAAATGCCAACTTACTAGCAAAATTTTAAATCATCAAAGTTCTAACTATACAGACTATTTGTGCTGCGGGAAGTGAGATGACTATCCTAGACATCCCACAGTTTTGGAAAGAGGAGATAGAGACATCTCTTCATTATCAATGTAATTAAGCATCTTTAATTAACAGTGAGATGGAGTTGGTCATAAGACTTTGATCAGGGCAACAATATAAAAATAATTACAGAGTCATATTATATAGTTGGCTATTCATACTATCTTATTAGCCAAGTGCGGTAGATCGTGAAAGCTTGGCCATATGGGTAAATAATTTCTGCGGAACGTTCCAACTCCATTAAACCTAATATGATCTATGTGGAATGTGTCAACTCCATTAGACCTAAATATAAATAGATGCAGTAGTTTATAATATTTACCAGTCTTTAAGTCATCATAAGTAAATTTATACAATGGAAAGAAGGCAAATTTAGAACAAAGAAACTCTTATACAATTATCTGAAGGGCTAATAATAAAAACCTCCCCCGAGTGCAGTTTTCAATCTGCACTGAATAGCAGAACTTCAATGATTAATTATTGTTTCTTAATAAGAATTCACATGGAAATATATATGTGCGTGTACATATATGAGAGAGAGAAAAAATTCTGAGATTCCAATTGTACATAATTTACATAATTTACTGCCTCATGCTTTCTTGATTTACAAATTATAAGTAAAGTGGAAAGTAGTGTTTGTGGTCTCAGCACGCACGCACCTTCGCTCCCAGCTCATTATAATGCAATTTCAAAGCTGTTACTCTTTCATCAAGCTCTTTGGGATTTTCTGTCTGTTTCTTCTGTACAATCTGACGTCCAGTTTTTATCACCATTTCCACTTCAGACTTCACTTCACTTAGACTTTTATACAAGTTCTAAGTGAAAAAATAAAACAAAACATAATAATAAGCAACAGTGTTAAATTAACTCATATCATTAACAAAAAGAAATAGAGTAAATAGTCCCATAATTAGTATTCAATGTCTATAGGCTTAATAGAATAGTATTTTGCAGCTGTGGTAGATATGCAGTTTTTGCATCTTCTATTGATTTAATGTTTTTACCTGCAATTATAAACAAAAATACACACATGCATAATTTGCAGCTATTCTTACGAATGCATTAAATATATATATGTGTGTGTGTGTATATGTATACACACACACATATATTTCAATCCAATTTCATAATGGTCATTTCTAAATGTCACATGATTTCTATTTTAAATTTTAATTTGAGCCATGAATTTGAATAAATTAATTCATTCATTCAGTGGGTATTTATTCAGTGCCTACAATGTACCAGATAGGATTTGAGTCACTGGGGAATTAGTGGTGGCCAAGATACACACATTCACTGTTGTTCTCATGGTGCTTATGCTTTAGTGGGGTAAAATATCAAAATTTTCAGATCATAATTTTAATATATATTATATCATATATAAAGAACAGAGGTAGTTTTAAGTATGTTAATTAGATTATACAAATTTCTTAATGGCGTTCAAAAATATAAACAGATATAAAAATATTATTTAAAACTCACATGAATATCACATCTATAAAGTACTCATATATTGTTTCACAAGAGTAGGTTGCCATAAAAAAGCCTCATGAGACAAGTGTCATAACTTTGGAAGATAGCTATGCTCATCACGATACCACCAACACTTCATTTGGTGTCATGACTTTGCTTTGTAATTATTTTTCTGGAAATATTTATGTTTGTATATATGCATGTATATATGAGTATATGTGTATAAATGTATATACTAGTTTATATTACACATTGCTGCTTTTATTTGTTCAGTGGTAAGTCTGAATGATAAATACTTATTTTACTATTACCTAGAAATAAGCTTGCTAGTAGGTCATTGTTTTTTGGAACTAGAACAAAAATTGAGGTTTTTTTTCTCTTTTCAGTTTAAAATAAATGCCTAAAACAAAACATTTTGTAAAGGCTGAGCAATTATATGATTAATCAAGGTTACATGGAAAATGTATTTCCATCTTAATCCCTTCTTTTGATGATTTATGTTAATATTCATTTATTAATAATTGTGAGTTTTTTCTGAGTTTTGTAGAGGAATTCTTTTTGTCACTTCATATTACTTTTGTCATAAGAGATATATAAATGTCAGCATATTTGGAAACATTGAAATCATTAATTGTTATGTTGGGAATCAACTATGTAAATTTTGAAATCAAAGATTCTTCCAAATGATTTACTTTTTAAACTTTGAAAAAATATCAATGCTTTATTTTTATGAAGAAAGCTCATTCAAGCTACTATTACCTATTAACATAATTTCATTCAATAGGTAAAGAAAATATTTATAAACAATGAGAAGAAATATTCCTTATATTTGTATTTGTTCCAGTAAGAATTTTAATAGACAAAATTGTCTTGAAGGGAAGGCCATGGTTATGGTATAAGCCACAAAGCAACTTAAGTAATGAAAAGTCTAAAAGTTGTGAAGAATAGATGTCCTTATGAAAGAACTACTTGACTTGGTCTCGACATTCAAACCAGAACAAGAAACAAATTGAGCAAGTACCTTGAGCTGTTTCCTTTGTATGGGTACAGGGTACAAAAACAGAGTATGGGCATAGATAGGGTTGTTTTCAGCTCATATTTACTGGTAGATAAGTTTTATGAGTTAACATTAGAGACAGGTTCTGAGAAGAGGCTGAACAGATAGATCTCCCTTTGCAAATATGAGTCAAGAAAGTATAGTCGGGTCACTTTTCTTTCAATTCTTTTGCAAAATTTAAGATATATCTCCATGTATTCCCACTATTACTCAGAAAATATTAGTTAATCATTGTATATCATTATATTCAAAATTCCTTTTTGGGGGTAAGAATATTTAAAGTAATTATAGCACTAATATTCAGCCTAAAATATGAATAAATGTTATTGGATATAAAACACTGCATAGTTTTTCAAAAATAAATATATACATTTATTTTAAAATGTTTGTTTAAAAGAGATATTTTCCCATTCCTAATGATATGACTGAAATGTACCTAAAGGGGTTTGTTTTTCATTTATATTATGGAGTAGATGCAGAAACAATACTTAAAACACAAAGTACTAAGGAGGCTTCCTTTCCCTTTAATATTAATAACATTCAGCATTTTCATTTCATATGAATTTCTACCTTTATGATTCATAGCTCACGTAGAGTTATATAATACCTATATGACTCTAGTATATACCCTCATACTTCAACTTTATGCTGTCAGAGGAATCACTGACTTGGTAAATTTCCAATAATCACAACATAGGACACTACTAGATAGTCCAAGTCTAATGATGACTTCTGCTACAGGCTGTGTTGTCTGGTGGCATTTCAGTGTATATCCAACACTGATATTTAATGGAGAGATGTTAGAGTTTGGAATAAGAGTACCCGGATTGGATCCTGCTTTGCCCTTTACCAGATGTTTGTCTTTAAATTCTCTCAGGTAATTCTCTAATTCTCAGCCTTGAGAATTAGAGATGACTTCTGTAAATCAGTTAGCTTACTTGGCACTCATTATTTCTGGATTATATATTATTATTGTAGCTACTGCTGTTGTTGCTGTTTTTAGATTAATACATTTCCTTTGTGGATTTCCATTTAAAATATATTCAAAGTACCACAAGAATTAAACAAGGGAGACACCCTTTTATATTCTACACAGTCCTTAGCAGAATCATAGATTCAAAAATGACAGTTATAGATTAGGTATTACTTGGCTACTATATCATAAAAGTTCTTGTCTCTCAATACACTTGTGCCAATTTTTGTTCTGAATCCTAAAATTATACACTGTAATTATTACAGTTGTCTGAAAACAATTTTACTACAAAAGAGGATCATCAAATACTTCTTAATAAGGAAAGTTGGCATACTTGCCACCAGAAATACATACCACACAATGATTTAACTGTGACTGTACTACTTCCTGTTCAACACTTTTTGTTTCCAACGCAGGCAAGTGCATCTTCACTTCGTCTAAAATCATCTTACTTTCTTGTAGCCGCTGCTCAAAATTAGCTGGTTTCTGGAATAATCGAAACTTCATGGAGACATCTTGCAATTTTTTCTGTAAGGACAATGTAAGGATGCACAAATTTAAATTTTGTCTTCTAAACAATAACCAGTTGTATTTTTGCTAATATATATTCTTTTATTACTAAAGATATAGAGAAATAAACATGTTTTAAAAAATAAAGTTATTTCCCCTTTTCCATTTATTCAACACAAAGGAAACACACATTTGGGAGAAGAATTCAATATTTTTTCTTTTTTTTTTTTTTTTGAGACAGAGTCTCGCTTTGTTGCCCAGGCTAGAGTGAGTGCCGTGGCATCAGCCTAGCTCACAGCAACCTCAAACTCCTGGGCTCGAGCGATCCTTCTGCCTCAGCCTCCCCAGTAGCTGGGACTACAGGCATGCGCCACCATGCCCGGCTAATTTTTTATATATATATCAGTTAGCCAATTAATTTCTTTCTATTTTTATAGTAGAGACGGGGTCTCACTCTTGCTCAGGCTGGTTTTGAACTCCTGACCTTGAGCAATCCACCCGCCTCGGCCTCCCAGAGAGCTAGGATTACAGGCGTGAGCCACCGCGCCCGGCCCAATATTTTTTCTTAATGTGATACTAAATAAAAGGTGCTTTATTAAGTTATTTTATCTTAAAATGTAGAAAGCAAAAAACCCCATATTGTTTAGGCATCAAATTGTAGTTTTAAAATAATGTCCTTGCTCCCAATTATACTAATAATCAAGTTGCCTTATATGAAATAGACTATATTTTAATATCTGATTAAAACAACTTCCTTAATTTATACAAAGAAATGTACCTGTGCAACATCAATTTGGGATAGGACCCTTTGGGCAGCCTCCTTCCCCTGGTTGTGTTTCTTCATTTCTTCTAAACTGATCTCATGACTTGTCAAATCCGATTGGATTTTCTGGTGGGACAATGGTATTATTAGTCAGCATGTTCTGCATGTTATTGCAAAGAACTCACTTTCCAAGAAGATGGAATTCAGAACTTCTCCTAAATAATTACTAAAATGTAGCCTCCTTTAAAATGACAATAAATATTTTTACTTATCATAAATTGAAATGACTTATTTCTCCTCTATTTGGGCTATTATGAAAAAGAAATCATCATTTGGAGTTAATAATAGTTATTTCAGATATAATTTTCAATACAAAAAAACTACAACCATCTAATAATAAATAGAATTGATACTGTTTTATGTTTGAAGTTATATTCAAATCTGACCAAAGACAAGAATGGAAACTTTATACATAAGCTAATAGTGACAAGGATAAGACATAATGAGAAAGTTTCATGTGAACAATATTCCTTAATAGCAATATTTACTCAGTCATTCTGTGCCACGTTTCAGTTAAACTTAAGGGAAACTGTATCTAGAAAAGGGAAATTAAATGCTTCAACTGGTATTGCTTTTTATCTGACAGATAATTAATGGCTTCCTATAGATATTGATTTTTGAATTTTAAATAACTATAAAAATGTCTATATTTTCCATATTCAATAAAGACATTTTTATCGTGTTCTATTAAAAAAGTATGTCTGCATTTGACTTATGAATTTCTGAGCCAGTTATGGGGATGGGTCAAATCCTGCAGCATACTGATACCAAAACAACAAATTCATTCATTTCCTTCTGTGAGATGTAGCAAAAATCAGCTATTAGTCAAATTATTCTAATTTAAATTTCAGTTAGTGTCAAATTATCATGAAAAAATTAGAGAAGAAACTGATTAACTTATACCACAATGGCCAATAAAATTATCATGCAAAACAATTTGTATAATATATATTAGTTTAAACTGATTTTCACCAATTGGATTCAATTCTGGTACATATTATTAGAAAATATCAGTTTTGCTTATAAGTTACCAAAGAGAACTATAGCCCTAAATTGAGTAATGAGAATTATCCTAAGAAAATGGGCTAAATCAGGGGTCCTCAAACTTTTTAAACAGGGGGCCAGTTCACTGTCCTCTAGACCATTGGAGAGTGAGCACTGTGGGCCCGGGACGAGTCGGCTGTTAAGCAGGACAAGAAGCAGAGGCAAAAACACCCAGAGGGCTGGATAAATGTCCTTGGTGGGCCGCATGTGGCCTGTGGACCATAGTTTGAGGACCCCTGGGCTAAATGGTTCAGGAATTCCTTAGGATGCAAGGTTATAAATTTCAGGACATACCTGGATATTATTTCTTAGCATATTGATACTAATAATTATAAAAGCAAATTAATTATGAATTATTTAGGTAGTTAGAATTATGCCTTAAAATAAATAAGAGATGAGACTCATAAGTTAATATCATTTTTATTTTACTATGTACAATATCTTCATTGGTTGAATAACTAACTTGCATGCAAAATACTGGTATGTACTCTTCTTCAGGAAACTGAATCTGGAGCTTAAGGATCCACCTATACATATAATACTAAGAGTAAGAAATATAATGGAATGTATAAAATTTGATGGAAATATGCAGGGTAGAGTGACACTTGTATAGGGGAGTTAATAGATGTCACAGAAGAGGTGTTGTTAAAGTAGAACCCTGAATAATTTGTAAGCACTGCTGAGAGCTTGAAATGCTTTGAAGGATTTTTGGCCAGGATTTTACAGCTGGGAAATAGTCACCCTCTCAAAAATGTGGGCCAATAAAAACTATTTCTGTGCCACACAATCCTGGCCACCTCAAGTCATGGGTGATTAGAGCATGAACAATGCTTGTGCCAAGATAAATCTATAAGATTCTCTCTCAGAAATTTAGAACTGACAGAAAAAGGCTGGTGAAACTTTGTGAGTGCTTAGAATTATATCACATATGTTAAGGAATTGTGCTTATGAAGTCTCTAGTTTTCAGAGTAGATTGTGGAACAGTAAAAGTCCATGAGCATTGAAAGAAGAAAGAAGTAGATGTATAGAAAGAGACTTAGTAACAAAATTACCAATGGCTTCTAATCATAGGCTGAAGTTGATGGTATTCACCAACAATGGCTGCAACAATGGCTATCACACCACATGCTCCTCTTACTACTCCCTCATCAAAAGGTGGAGTTTATTTATTTGCCTCTTTAAATATGAATTGTCCCTTTGACTGCCTTAACTAATAAAATACAGCACAAGTAATGCTCTGTCCATTATGGCAAAAGTCCTTAACTGGCCTGGAAGCTTCCACTTCTGTCATATGGGGCACTGACACTTAGGGTGCTCTCTATTGGAACCCATTCAACATATAATGCTCTGAGAAACCTGAGTGACATGGAGAGGTCATGGATAAGGGCTGCAGTAAACATTTCCAGGTGGGCATTCAGTTAACAACTGCTAGCCATGTGAGTGAGCCACACTGAGCTTTCAGGTCACTATAGTACTAGCCAACAACTAACTATAAAGTTACATGAAAGACCCTAAGAAAGACTCATCCAGCTGAGTTTTCTCAATTCACAAGATCATTAGAGATAATGAAAAATGGCTATTACAAGTAACAAGAACACAGGTTTTAGTCCCTGAGTTAAAACTTTATATTTGGCCTTGGCTTCCATGGTACATTCCTGTACCCTTATGACAAATATCCCTTCACCATTTTTGCTTTTGCTTTAATTTAATGTTGTTACTTGTCCATAAAAGTCCTAAATAGTATACTATAAATGCTAGGAGACAAGGAGTTATATAAACAAAAGAAATTCTGGTTGAAGAAAAACAATATGTAGAGAGAAGGCACAGAAGTGTATAAAGAATGGGGCAGAAATATTATTAGAAATGCAGGTAGAAATCATGTACTAAATAACCTTATGTCCTAAATGAATAGTTTCTACTATTTTGAACATAAAGGTAAATATTAAAATTCAAAATTGATCAGAATCATAGATAATAGTTTTATTGCCAATATTTAATCCAATAACTAAGGAAATTGATAGGGATAAAATGTTACTATAATCAGTACTACTTTGAAATGAATTTGTATTATATTAGTCACTATAGATGTGTGCATGTGTGTGGGGAAAGAAGAGAAATTGGGAAGGAGGAAGGGAGGAGGAGGAGATAGAGAGAGAAAGAAAAGAGGGAGGCAGTGTATATTTGTACAATATGTGTTAATATTTACTTTAGTGTTTTACAATATTAAAGAAAAATAAGAAGGGAAGGTAAAGAGAGAACCATGAAGAACACAGGAATTTAAGTGATGTAGAGAAGAAAACCACCAAGAAAAGAAAAAGAACAGCCTAAGAGAAGAGGAGGAGGAAAAATGAAGAGAGAGCCACTTAAATCAAGTGATGTAAGAATTTTAGAAATGAGAGAGTGAAGTAAACAATGTCAGTTCTGAGATGGGTCAAATGATATATGTAATAACAAGGGTACATGAGTTATTCAATGAGCACTGTAGCTAGAATAGAGATAGTGGATGATGAGAGCAAAACTCAGAATTTCAAGGGCTGACCTGATTAAGGATCAAGAAGTATTCTTATAAAAATAATTTAAATTACTTTTGAAGACTTTTGTCCCCACACATTAATGAAATTCAGATCAATCAGTCTTGAACACTTGTAAGGCTAAGCTATGTATTAATTAAAGGAGCCAATGGATGGAGTGATTTTTTTAAAAAAATGTAAGGAAACAATTCATTAGAAAAATCTTGTGTAAAGCAAGGGAACTGGACTGAAGGACAAAGGTCAGGGCCAATGGAAAATATTGACAGGAAAAGAGGTGGCATTTTGCAGAAACTAAAGTTAAGACATAAAAATAATTTAGGATGTGGAGAGGCCAGAGTTGAATGCTTCTTAGTGCATCAAATATGATGCACTAGGAGAATCAGAATGGAATAGTGTTAACAGAAATTAGGATGTAAATTAGGATTTAAATCTCAGGACTCTGACTTGCAATCTTGGGCAAAGCACTAAACTTCATCCTTAGCCTCAATTTCCTCATCTCTAGCCTGAGAATGATAATGAAAAGCCAGCAATGAGACTTCATCATAATTTTTAGGCAGCATATCTGAGAGATTCTCAAATCTTCAGTAGAATACAGTAGTTTAGGTCAGAAGTTTAGATGTCATGGTATATGTAAAATACCTGTCCAAGTTGTTTGCACAAATATTTACTGATTAATTATTGGTGATATTACATATAATCTCCTTATAAGGACACGGTACTTGGTATCTGCTGAGTATGCAGAGGAGAAGGTAAAGGAAGAGTCTTAATCAAAGTAATGGAAGTTGAATAGCCATTGTGGAGACTATGAAAGGAAACTGATAAGAAAAAAAATTAAAAGATATTCAGAGAGATTAGAGGGACAAAATTAGACATCTGTATCAGTGTCTGTCTACATGTTTTTAAAACATTTTTTATCCCCTTATTCACCAAGGTATAGTAGAAGAGAAAATGAAATATATATATATAGTCCTTGCACCATTTATACAAGAGGGGCAAGAGGAGAGCACAGAAAGAAATCATCATCATTATCATTGTCACCAGAGCAGACATTTGAGTTTATGTACTAACACTTTATATAATTCATTCCATCTTCTAATCAAATTAACATAATTATTTATCTTTGTTTACAAATGAAGGTAGAAATGTTGACATGCCCCAGATATCATAGCTAGGAAATAGCAAACTCAATGCACTTTAAACAATTATATTGCCTCTTAAATTATGACTTAAAAACAAAATTATCACCAAATGAATAATTGTCAGACAAAACATAAATTTAATCTTATTTGTATATGTATAATATTTAGTTCATTCAATTTAATAAACAAGTTGTTCAGCCTCTGTTACTCAATTCCATATGGTGAGAACAAAACTCCCAAAGATGGTGGACCAGAAGCATCCTGCACTCATTGCTCTCAAGGAGAGGATTGAAAGTTGCAGGTAAAAGTTCACTATGGATGAACCATCTCAGAGAGACCACTGTGAACCATT